CTCAGTCTACCAACTACCCCACCTTTAAAATTCTCGAATGATTAGGGGCTACTATAACTTCTTCTTAAAAGGGATCATAGATCCAAATGTCACTTAAAACTCAAATTGTACTTCTTAGTAGTAGCAACCCTAATCACCCTCCACATTTATCCGGATGTGGAAAACCGACACCGCGGATTTCTCCCGCGGTGCTCACCTCTTATAAAATCCTTACTTTTATCTTGAATTAAGTATACTTCAAAAATATTTCTTAATCTCTCTAAATGGTCTCAATGATATTTAACACCCCAAAAGTATTTCATTTGTATTTCTCAAATACCATAGATCTAATATCTTCTCAAAATCACATACACATAATATCTTCTCAAAATCACATACACATAATTCAAAATTCACACTTAATCACATAATGCATAATATGCATATAATACGAGGAAACAATTTGGATTGGCAGAGAAACTTACCTCAATTCAATGCTTCTATTTTTCTTCCTCTATTGCGGTCTCCAAGTAATCACCTTTTTAATTAAGATGATATACTTAGTCATTTATTCTATTAATAATTTATCCGATTTTCTACTTTTTATTCTATTATTCGCATATACATTATTATACGAGTTTATTTGATTGCCCAGTTTTATTAATCAAGTTACTATATTAATTTGATTATTATAAGAGTTTATTTGATTGCCCAGTTTTATTAATCAAGTTACTATATTAATTTGGCCCAATAATTCGAACTTAATTCTTCTATCAATTTTATTCCTTACTTTACTACTTTTAATTCAGCTTTCCTTTTATTTACTATTGCTAATACAACCTCCGCATATATACTTAGTTTACTAGTCATCATCAATTAAAACTGTTGTTATTAATCTAATAAAATAATAGATCCGAAATGTATATTATTAAAGATACTAGATCCAAATTATGAAGTTTCTCTAATTGACTTTATTTAGTCCATCTTAATTAATCCATTATAATATTCCACAATGAACACTTAGCAATACCGAGCACGTTAACTAACAATTTACCAATTTATCCAAGTGATTAATATCAAGCTAAATCCATCACTAATACATCTCATCTTAAATTTATCAATTACCGAATTATTTTTATTGTTATTATTATTATTATTATTATTATCCAATCACATCCCAATTAACAATTATTTTTATTCCTCTAGAGGTGAAACTATCAATCTATATCATATTACATCGTTACTTAGCAATTCAGTCAGTCCAACATACATCACGTTTAGCATTTTTTTATAATACTAAATTAACTAGTCGAGAATATTACTACTATTAAAATTTCGGCCCAACCCAAGTGTTCCCAGACTTAGCGAGTACGTAGTACCGGCGATCGTCTCCGTCGCCGGAAAAACGCACAGGCCGCAGGGGGGTTCGATGGCTTACCTTACTGACGACGGCGTTTGACACGGTGGCGTTTCCCTTACTCCGGCGAGCGTCCTTACTCCTTAGGCAGTACAGCGGCGTTGGCAACGATCCGACTCCTTCACCGGCGAATTCCACTAACTCTAGCGATGGTGAATCCGGCTGCTTCCTCCCCCGGCGTTCGGCGGTAATGGGACCACTCACTTTTCTACTCGCTCAATGAAGAGAGTATTACATTCGGTCGTTCTGACTTTTCTCTCGTAAACTCTCACGTTTGTTTCTTTCCTCTCTATTCTATTTTCGCAGGAGTTCCTCTATGCTTAAAGGTACAGGTCGTGTAGAGCAGGTCATGTACTTATACTCGGTAGAGAGGGTTCTGGCCACTCGTTAAAGGATCTTTGGCATTGAATTCAGTTTAATACCTTTCCTTTGTTAAAGATTTTCACGCCATGCGTGAATATATGCATGGTATGCGCCGAACTGCAGGTTAACTCCTCATATACGTATAAGTTGCTATGAATATTCTGTATCGGCCGATATTCTCTATTTATGCCTTTCCTTGTTTATTAGGTGTGTATATAAGTTACACGCAGGTCATATATATAGAGGTGTATATTTATGGACTATGAATTAATATATGTTTGACAAGGATCCCATATACGTACATGTAGGAATTAAGTTTGAAGAGTCAAATTTGCTAAAATGTTACGTATTACCTTTGTAACAATAAAATGGTGCTCATGATAAAATAACTCAAAAACGTATTACCAACACCTATGAATTAGAATTTGCTAAAACGTTATTACTATTGATTAATTAAGTAAAGAGAATTCCATATTACTCACGTAAGTTTCAAAACAAAGTTAACCTCACTATTATTATTATTATGTTGACAAGTCAAGTCTTCTAGTTATGTATGTACGTATTTACGTACATAATTATAGATTTAGTTGAGCTCTAACTTATAGCCTTTTTAATCAACACTCTTTTATCTAAAATGTCAAAATTTCATGTAATTCAAATGTCACCTCTAACATTTTATATAGAATAATTTATTTTATTAAATTATTTATTTTCTTTTCTTTTTAAATTTTCGGAGTGTCACAGCATAAGCCTCACTGCAATCATCATTGCATTGAAACATCCAGGCTTTGTCAATGAAGTAATTCTCTGCTATCTCCAAACAATAAATGCTATGAAAAACTATTCAAAACCAGAAGCACCATGTTGGAAAGAATGAACATGTTAAAACAATTTTTTTTACAAAAATATAGTCAATTGTCAAACTACAATTCCAAATGACATGGGTAATGGTACAAGCTGCCATACTACCAATTCAATAATTATTTGAAGCACAATAACACAATGGACAATATGAACAATGAAAGAGCTATGCAGACCGAATACTTCTTCTCTTTCCTAGAAGAATTTAAGATTTCATAACGCAAAACTTCTTCTTTTTTCTGCTGCAATTCGTCTTTCAACTTTTTGTTTTTCAAACGCATCTTCTTTATCTTCTCTTCCAACATCATCTTCTCAATGAATAGGGCATCACTTCTTGTTGCTTGCTTCTCTAATAAGCTGCCAGTTTCAAACTCAGGTGAAGAAGGTGTTTGCATACTATCTTCCCACATGAAGAAATCACAATTCTTATCCTGATGCACACAAATAAAAAGTCACCAAACAAACAATCATTTTAAACCCTAATTTTTCCTCCTATACAATTGCAACCATACAAATTGCTAATTTACACTTACTGGCCATAAAGAGCACCCATGAAACTTCCTTCCCGCATTCACTCCGTGTTTAACCACTCTCAAAACAGATTTGATATTGTGGTGACAATTAATTTTTGAATCCAAACCTCTGCTACATGTTGTCGAAGATGACCCATAAGCATCTGAGTTCATTTTTCCTGCCACCATTGAAATAAATCAGTTGAAACGAAGATGGAGGAAGATAGCTAGGCCTAGGAGGATGACAGCCGTACGAAGACGATGCGATGGAAGTCGAGAACCAGTCAGATAAGGAAGAATGCGATAATGGAGGAGGACCCGACATATAAAGAAGAGGAGGTAGACGGGTCGGGCTATGAACATAAGAATTTTGCTGAGATTACCGGTGATTATAAATAAAAAACGCTCTACATCCGGTTAACTCCCAAGTCAGGACCGATTATGGAATATCGTATGCAAAGATTGGATTTTTAATGGATTTTCGATAGAAGGGACCGTTAAATGAAGACCGGGTAAAGGTTGGATTATTCTTTTCCAATTCCCCTTCTATAAATGAACCATTTTATGTGTTAAGTTGTAATTTATGATAATGTACTTAATGGCCTCCTTAGTACTAAAAATTGTGCACAAGTTTTAGCACTTGGTGTAGTGCCTCGAGGTGGGATAACTTGGTCTAAAAAGTAAAAACAGAAATGGAGAGTTTTTTCTCAAAAAAGATAGTTTTGAATCTTATTTTCCGATTAAAACTACTTTTAAACTTATTTTTTAAATGAGGATGTTTTTCCTTGTTTTCTAAATGAGAGTGTTTTTTCCTTGTCGTCCAGTTTTTTCCTTGTTTTCTAAATGAGAGTGTTTTTTCCTCGTCGTCCAATTTCACCACATCACCAACTCCACATCATTTAGGATGTTTTTACTTGGACTGTAATTTGTCCCAGACCAGACCAGACCAGACCAGTCCAGACCAGACTAGACTTGGATAGTTATAAAAATACAAAGAAACCAGACCTTACCAGACCAGACCAGTTCAGACCAGACCAGACCAGATCAGACCAAACCAGACCAGCAAATTACAGTCCAAGTAAAAACATCCTTACTTGTCGTTTCATGTCATCACATTTTTTGTATGATTTTAAAATATATAAAAATATGAAGCTCACGCTAATTGAACCGATGACCCATCTTGATATACTTATAACACACGGCCACAGGACTATGTAGGTCATTTGTTAGTTATTACATACTTTCCTTTACAAATATTTAACATATATACTACTATACTGGTATATTTAAGCATAGAGAGTCCCAAATTAACTCATATATTAATTATTTGCTTAAAGATATATTACCCATTCTTTAAATAATTAAATAATACGATGTATGATAAAATTACATTAAATAAAGAATATAATAAATACTTACTTTGATATATGGAATTAAAAACTAAAAACTCAATTAAAAATTATAGCAAAAACGTAATTTGATATATGCTATTAAAAAATTATTTAAAATAAATCTACACAGCAAAATAAAAAATATATAAATGTGATTCTAGGTCCTAATCCACCACAGACTAAAATATATATTATGAATGTAAAAGTCATGTATTTTAGTGTTGGATATTTTCCTTTACAAATATTTATAAAGTTAGATATGTCAAATAACAACAAGAAATTTTGGCATATTTGTACTAAATCAAGGAATAAATAGTTATGTTAAAGTTCAAGTTGTTTGAAAATTTTCTTGATAAAAACTTCTTATAAAATGATACAGGTCAATGTTTGAAGAGAGAAGAAATATTTAATGGTCATTCTTTACTACTCCGTATTATTGTACTAAACAGAAAACATAAATAACATGTTAATATTCCAAAAGGTAAATTGAATTGAAACAATAAAAGTGCAACAATAACAAGTTTAGAGAACAGTTAAAATTTGGAGTGGTGGGAAGTATAATAAATACTACTGTACGAATTACTAGTATTATTAAACAAGAAAGGGTTCAACAGGAATCGAACCCATGTCATCCCCAAATTGGTATTACGCTTAACCATCAGTGCTACATCAACTGTTGATCCAATCACGGGTCAGATAATATTTATCATTATTCTAGAGACGGGGCTGAATATATACATATACATATTTTTTTTTTTGATACATCGGAAAGGATACATATACATATATATGCACTACAATATAATCTCCAGCGAACGGGGCGGCAGCACCGGCTCGCCCCCCCTAATTCCGCCACTGCATACAAGCATCAATATTACACAGAGAAGATAATAATATGATATATTCACAGTCTAATTTTCTGTTATCAAAATTAAAAAAAGAAAGGCATCAAAGAGTGCCTTCAAAATTTGTTGATTGATCAATTTGTGGAAATAATAATAAAATAAAAGTAATAAATGTAAGCAGGTAGTCAAGCTTCCCCAAAATTCAATTCACTTAATTCCCATTACATGCAAGTCTCTCTGGCCTTTGAGATGATTTTTCATTGAATGGCCACGGTATCTTCGTCCTTAGCAATGTCACTTTGCAAATCCCCGGGCTTAGGTTCACCGTTAGCGGCCGAAGCACCGCTCGTCTTGCCGGAGTTACTCCTATTAAGATTATTATAGCTACCCTTCTCTTTGAATAGTTGAGAGAAGTGAGGTTTACAATAGAGGAGTCCATCTAATGCAGCGTATGAAGAGGTTGTGAGCTTGCATCCTCCATGGGAGCACTTGAAACAGTTTTGGTGATAGAAGAATCCATCCACGGTTACCTAATCTCACATATAATACCACTCTATCATTTATCTATGTATAATATATGTAGCATAATAAATCACGAAAACTGGCTTCAAATTGGTGCATCTTTTATTGATTTTAAGAGGACATGGAAACTAACAATCCATGTGTCTCCTCCATTCATTAATCTGAATTCGCACTTCCAAACTACTCAATTGGATTTCAACTCTCATAGAATAATTTAACATTAAGAGTTTTGTTATTTCTTACAAGGTTAGAATAATTTGCAAACCATATATTCTTCTTAATGGTTGTAATGTTCTCATTCAATCATATATAACACTCCTCAACTTGGGAGTGAAGATCATATCATAGTCCTTTTCTCTAGTTGACATACTCCAAATCACACTTCAAATTATGTACATACATAAAGTACATTAGTAATGTACATGCTTTTGTCATCCTTCGTTCTGTTGTGATTTGGATACCACATATTCATATCTCTAATGTGTTATTTCCATCTCTAAATCTTACTCTTGATTGTAACAAATTTCACGCGGACACTTACTCTACCGTGACTCCTTAACATCTTAGTTTGAACAATAATTCTTGGTGTGCACATTTTTATTGTTTACACAATTGTAGACACGCTTGTGAAGACCTTTTTATCTATGAACAGAATACATGACAAAAAATTCATAAACGTGTATAAAAGTGTGTAAACAATAAAAGTTTGTACAAAAGATTTTTTACTAGTTTAAATCACCTAACACGTAACCTATCGAACGACCTACCTCTCAAATCAATTGAGCGACCTACCTCTCAATAAAACTCATTTATTAATAATCTAAACAATGATGCTTCATGTACACGCCATTCTACACGACATTTTACATTTCGGTCAAAAGTCTTTGTACAAACATTTTGACCGGTGTGTAAAATGCCGTCTACACTTTGCCGTGTACGAATAGGATTTTCGTAATCTAAAATGTTGTGAAGACAAGGGATAGAATCCTAAAGTTGCTAAAATTGAAACTAGAATATTCCTCAAAAGAAGATCAGAATAAGTTATTAAAACATAAATTACTGCCACAGTAACTTCTAACCTAATAATTAAAAATATTAAGAGTAATAATTAACTAAAGTTCGGAAATAAAAATTTAAGTACTTGTGTTCTGTTCGTCTTATTCTTATTACTTATTGCTTATTCTTATTTTATTCAGATCAGATCAGATCAGAAAAATTCAGATCAGATCAGATCAGAAAAAATCAGATCAGATCAGATCAGAAAGATTCAGATCAGATCAGATCAGATCAGAAAGATTCAGATCAGACCATATTAGAAATATTCAGATCAGATCAGAAACATTCAGATCAGATCAGATCAGAAAAGTTCAAACATGATTTATCACTTTTATTATTATATTAATTATTATTAATATTGTTATTATTATTATTATTATTATTATTATTATTATTATTATTATTATTATTACAATATAATAATAATAATATGATTAATATTATTATAATATTATAATTATAATTACAATTACAATTTTTATAATTATAAGTATAACCAATTGTAATTTGTATAATTATATCTATAATTAATAATAATTATAATTGTAATAAATTAAAATTATAATAATTATAATTACAATAATAATTATAATTATGATTATAATTATAATTATAATATTATAATAATAATATAATACTAATTATAATAATAATCATATTATTATTATTATTATATTGTAATAATAATATTAATATAATAATATCGTTATAATAATATTAATTGTATTTATATTAGTATAATTATATTATAATATTATAATTAATGTTAATATAATTATTATTATTATTAATTATAATTATAATAATTATAATTATACTTATAATTATATTATAATTATAATTTATGATTATAATAATTATTATTATTATTACTATTGTAAATATTTTACGTTGTAATTATAATAAGGCTAAAGGATCAAATAGGTACATGAACTAACCTAAAGTGTTCAATTAGCCCCTTATATAGGAGTTTCTGCCCGGACGTCGCCAATTGGGGCGGTTCCCGGTGGAATTTTTTGATGAATTTTTTTGAGCATCTTCTTCATTAAGTCTAGTGTACCCAGACCAAATTTCAGCTAAAAATTCAACCGGAAAGGCAATCGAATGATTTTCTGAAAAATTAAACAGCGCAGTACATTTCGGAAAATAATTCGACTACCTTCCCGGTTGAATTTTTAGCTGAAATTTGGTATGGGTAAACTAGAATTAATGAAGAAGATGCTCAAAAAATTTCATCAAAAAATTCCATCGGGAACCACCCCAATTGGCGACGTCCAGGCAGAAACTCTTTTATAAGGGGTTAATTGAACACTTTAAGTTAGTTCATGTACCTATTTGACCCTTTAGCCTTATAATAATATTGATAACTATAGTTACAATTGTAGAGATAAATATTGTAATTATAATTACAATTATAATTATATAAGTAATTACAATTAAAATTATAATTAAAATTATAATTACAATTATAATTATATCTATATTTATAATTAGTGTAATAGGTATAAATTTTTTCATTTTAAATTTAATTTTAATTATTATTATTATTATAGTTACAATTATAATTATAATTTTATTTAAATTATATTTGTAATTGCAATTATAATAATTATAATTATAATTATAATTATAATCATAGAAATATTCAAATCAGATCAGAAAGATTCAGATCAGATCAGAAGAATTCAGATCAGATCAGAAACATTCAGATCAGATCAGATCAGATCAGAAAAATTCAGATCAGATCAGATCAGAACTTAAAAAATTTAGATCAGAAACATTCAGATCAGGTGAAGAGAATAGCTTCTTAATCCAAAGTAGGTCTTCTTAAATCGTTTTGTACCTCCAACCATTCCAAGGCATTAATCAGTTTTCAAGGTACAACAAATACTTTAGTTATGGCTTGTACACTTACTAATAATATCGCAAAAATAATACGGAGTATTTGTTCAAACTTCAAAGTATGGTGAGCATGTTTTTTTGGTATATCAGGTTTATCGACCATTTCTTTCACTAAACATTTTTTTCCCGTGCTGAATTGTGTAATAATTAAAAAATGTAAGATTGGAGTTACTTTTCTGGTTGTATTGGTTGAAGTTACTATCGATGATCATTTCAGTTGTTTTTTCATATAATTTTTTCTTTATTTTATTAATAAAAATATTTTAAAACATAATTTTTACATAAATAAGCAGAAGCAGCTAATCCAATCACTTCAGCCAGAACTTCATAGTTTTTAGCTGATTTTGGTATTACCAAACGCGCTCTAAATCTATATCTCCAAAGATAGAACATCTCCCTCTCGGAGAAAATTCATTCTCGATTCCTGGACTCCCATGATAAAAAAGAAAGTTATATATTACCTCGGTCTCAAATCGATTTGAAAAATTGACTATTTAGTCAAACAATTTCATTTTATTCACTTAATTAGAATGTCAATTTTTTATAATAGTATTCTAATTTGGAGTTTACAACTTTGAAATTGACAGAATATGCATATTATGAATATGCAAATTTTAATTGTTAAAAAATTGAATTAATTACCAATAGAGAGGATTTAACTTTAATATTGATTGACAAAATAATGTTGATTTCATAAATCAATTTGAGACGGAGGACGGAGTACGTTTTCTTCCGTTTACTTTGTTTTCTTTGTTCATTTTACTTTGTTTTTGTACCTTTTCTTTCTTCAGTGCATCTGCAAAACTTCCGACCCCGTTAACTCGACTTGAATCTTGACCACTATAATAAAACCGAACAAAAAAATGTTTTGATGAAGGAAGTTGCAAGCAACTCACGAAGCATGCAATTTAATTAGTGAAAGGGACTGAGCACAGAAACGAAAGAAGGTTAACAATTCTGAAGCTTTCTTAGTTTGAAAAAGTAGAAGATGAATACGAAGGAAAAGAAATATTTGGTGTTGCTTGTCAAATTTCGAGTTGGATTAACCAAAAAAGATTATTCTGGAGATGAATTTGAACCACTAAAATCAAAATTTGAGGGGGTTCAAGTCTTCCATATACAATTGACGGGAAATAAAACGGAATAATGATTTCAAGATTCAATGGACAGAAAAAAGGAAAAAAGGCAAAACTAGCGAAAGAAAAGAAATGATGAAAACAAGGGAGAAAAATCTATGGGCTGTGGCTATGGCTGCTATGGATTGAATTACTTTTTGCAGATGCACAAAACGAGAAACAAGGGAAAAGGGGAAAAGGAAGGTAAAGTAAAAAAGTAAGACTGAGGGTATGTTTGGCAAATGGCTTATCAGCCAGCTTTTAGCTTGTTTGACCCATTTTAGCTGTTTGATTAGTCAAAGAAGCTAATAATAATATTTGGTAAATGGCTTATAAAATTAGCTTGTTGAGTTTGAAAAGCTGAAAAAATGGATGGTTGAAGAAGCTAAGGGGAGCAGCTTCTTCATTCGGCTGGTTCAATTTACACTCTATCAGCCATTTCGAAACAACCAATTTTACCAAACAGTTATTTATAATCAGCTAACATAACCAGCCGGTCAAAACAGCTAACACAACCAGCTGTTAGGAAACAGCTGACACAACCAGCTAACAGCAACAACTAACAGCCATTTACCAAACAAGGCCTAAAAAAGTAAGACTGCAAAAGTACATTTAGTTCTCTCATTGTTTTTGCTAATTTTGCCACTTTAGGTTCATCATAAGGATCCACAAATGTCTTTATACCATCACGTGGACTATATAGACATTTTAACGGATTTACGGAACTTCGATTCATGTTCCAAAAGGTTGAATCTCCAACCCCAAGGGTCCCCCACGTCCTGACTCGAGACATTTGGGAGGTTCTAAATCACAATAACTTAATCAGTCCAATGATAATATAACTTGTACCCGTGGGCACAGAAGCATCCACAAAACCTAGATAGATTTGGATTCAGAGCATTCTAATTTGTGTTGTAACATCCACAAGAGTAACTTTGTCCACAACTCAAACCATATTAGTCATTGCGGGATTGATATTTGATAGCCATCACCTTTTTGACTCCTTTCATGAGAGAAGGAATATTGATTATTTTTGCTAATGGATGTTTGTGGTGTTCAAACTTGCTAATATTAGAAAGTATGACTCTTTTTGGACAACTTCGTAAGAATCATAATAACGTGGCATTACCTTCGAATGTTACAACAACATGATCAAACTTTAGTCGAAGGAGATGTGTATGTTACAAAAGAACTTTGACACTTCAACTTTAATGTATACTCCATCCATTCCAAGAAGTTTTGCCAATTTTTTTTTCTATTTGGCCGGTCCATAAAAGTTTGTCATTTCCTTTTAAAGTAACAAATTTATAATTCATACTATTGCTCTTTCTACACAAATTTTAATCATACAAGTTTTACTTTATTATTTTATGTGCAAGTTAAAGTTGGTCAATCTTTGTGGAACAGGGGTCTTACTGTGACGTGATACTTCAAAATTTAAAATTAGAAATAAATATGTATTTGGCCTTGGAAGAACCCTATGTAATACATTTAAGCTTGTTTTAGTGTTTGGGGTCAAGGCGGAACTGGTGTTACGAAACTGGAGCAAAAATCAAAGATGGGGAGCCTGTGACGTGAGCGGGACCCGCATTCCACAATGCATCAATGTGTGGTCAGTGTGCGCGACCAATGAACAGTAGAGCGTGCGACGCATGCAGGATCCGCACGGCATCCGTGGTCCGCGACCGCGCGTGTGTTTGTTTCATCCCAAGAGGTAAATTTTGGTGTCAAGCCACAAGAGGTAAATTTTGGTGTCAAGAAATTGCCTCTACGTATATAGTCATCTTTCAGTAAGATCGAAATCTAGCGTTTTAATATGTTTTATTCAGTTTCAATCGGTTGAGTAATTATTCTAGGATTTATTTGGTACAAAGGACCCGAGACAAGGCTTGAAATTTCAAAATCCGTGTCACCTTAAGAAAGTGAGATCACGTAAATGGTACGATATTACGTACATGGGTTTAGGACTTATTGAAATTGTTATATTTACTGGAGCGTCAGAAATCGGTGCCCTAGAACAGGAGAAAAGAGACAAAGTTAAGGCTGAAGTCTCTTTTGACTATGGAGACTTGAATAATAGTTATAAGACACGAGAAATTTCTTTGTCCACTAACTATGATTCAATCTATAGTCGTGGGGGTAAGAATGTGTTTGTAGGGGAAGATTCATCTGTTTTAAAAAGCCCTTAAACTGACAAGGTTTTTATTCCAGAGAAATCTGAGATGCTATTGGGTTAGGGCTACTGGCCTATTACTACTTTGGTTTGGTTGGATTGATTTAGGTGTGTTGCGGTAGAAATCTTGGGCGCTAGGATGTTAACATCATTTTCTTTGGTCGTAGTAGTAGTCCTTATTCCGCTTTTGAGAATTAATTCCTTTATGGGAGTAGTTGGTAAAAAAATCTTGATGACTAATTGATCTTCTTACTACTCGAAGAGTTTGAAATCCCTCTTAGGAACACCACTTAAGAGTAAAAGTTGAGATTCCAAATTGTAGTTGATGGGATCCCTAATTTCGGGATGAATTGTGGGGGGGTCTGTGACCTACATTTCCGCTAGACTAGAAAGATCTTGAGTTCTGCTCACCTGTTTTTAAAGAATTGAGAGATTTGGATTGTCTATAATTTTGATAAAATAATATTGGATAGAGGTTTTGAAAAGTGATATTTACTCTGATAGGGAGATGTGTATTAATTAAAATTTATAAATATATTTTAAATTATAAATGTTATTCGAATTATAAATGTTATTTTAAATGTGATGATAATATTTTGGAAAGTATATGAATTTTGAAAAGGGACTTTGAGTTGGAAAAATTATTTTTCTCAAACTACATTATTTTACGAGGTTGAGTGAGTATTATTTAGCTATAAAACTAATTTGTGTTTTTCTTATGTTTTCTATTTGCACTTTATTTTGTGCAAGTGATGATAATTGTACTTGATGATGAGAGTTGTTCTAGAACACTTAGTTTATTATTAAACCCTTGCTTATTTAAATTTGAATTTGAGAACATGTGAACAATTAAGTAGTTTTGGAGTTTAAATATTTGAATATGCATGTTTTATTTTGGATAGTGGTTTAGCTAGCCAATTAAATGAGATCCTAGTGTGACGGTAATACCCAGTGTTTTTAATTTCGCTATGTTGTATACTACATTTTAATTTCAAATATTTTGGAAAAATGATTTATTAAGTCACTACTTATACTATGTATTTTGAGTTAGAATTTGGGATACATGTGACATCTAGCCGGTCAAAACCTCACAAAGTCATGCGGAAATGTAACTATAAACAAGATTGTTAGAATTTGGGATACACGTGACATCTAGTTGGTCAAAACCTCACAAAGTCATGCGGAAATGTAACTACAAACAAGATTTAGAACATCTAAAATAAGGAAAATAATCACCTAATAAATACTTCTAGTTACTACTTTGTCCTCTAAATATTTGCCACCATTTCACATAGCAATGATTTCATCATTCAATAATTGAATACTTGATAAATAATAATGTCAAATATTAATAAAATTTAATTTTAATGTTTCCTAAAGAATGTCGCTTAATTAAATAAGACTCACCTTCTCCAATGGGTACACAACTTTTTTGCAGACGGCACACTTTTCTTGGGTTCCAGAAAATGCAGAAGAAAGTTTGCTAGGGGTCCTTGCCTGGGTTAAAATATAATATTCAACTCATGCAATATATGTTAAGTCCAATATCATTGAAGGTCTAGTCCTATAGCTAGTGTGTATGCAAAGTATAATAATAACAACAACAATAATAATAACAATAAAATAATAATAATAATAATAATAATAATAATAATAATAATAGTAATTGTAATAATAGTAATAAGAGTGATAATAATAATAGTACTAATATAATAATAATCATAATAATGATAATGATGATCACGACGACGATGATGGTGGTGGTGATGATAATGATGAAGATGATTATGATGGTGATGATGTAGTGTATAACGTATTGGGTTTAGAGCAGGCCGACAATAATATTAATTTGAACGGGTAGATTTAGAGCAAAAATAATATTAGTCCAATAGTATTTCAAGTATGGTGATAACCCAATACAACATCCAAAATTATTTTTCTCGACCAGATCGATCGAAAAAATTAAAACAAACCTGGTTGTCATATAAATTTAATGCAGATCAGACTATATCGAAAAACATAGTTAGGTTAGTAAGACATGTGAAATAAACACATATGTTGCTTAAAAAGTTGTTTAGTAACTCATCAATCATGTGCTTAAAGTGACGCTTACTAAATATATCACCTCCATTTATTAATTAAGCAATAATTTAAACTTTTTCAGTTTCCCCATATACCCTTACACCTTATTTTAAATCATGTGAAGTAAATATATATTCTTATAGTACTGCTAATTTTATATACTGCATACTAACACATGTCTTAAAGAGATGGGTTTGTATCAAATCGCCTATGAAGTAAACATGTCCTTAGAGTGAAAATCAATATATTAAACAAAAAAGAGGTAAAGAGATGAGTTCGTACCAAATCGCCTTGCTTCCCAACTTCTCGTGATAATAGACAACAACCCAACACCCAAAAAAATGATCAATTAGTTAACAATAGAAGGGTATATAGTTACATATTTCTCTCTATAAGTGTTGCCCATTATTAATAAGTGACATTGTATAGAATAAAACATATGAAAGTAGGCTATATTTACTTGGGATTACGGATTTACGGGTGTGTTCAGTTCTTTCAGTCCGGTTTTGACCAAAAATCAAATACTGAACCAAAGTAGTAGGTTCGGTTCATTTTGGTACGGTTTTACATTTCAAAACTAGAAACCATGGTTTGATTGGTTTGGATTAATTATTTTGGTTTGGATTCGGTTTTTTGGGGGTTTTACTAAAAATTATCATTTGATTTAAAATGATATTGTCGTATAATAGTTGGAGGGAACAAATATATTACATAAAAATGCAAACATCCTTGAATAAAGTAAATAATAACGAGAAGAAATAAACATGTCTACAATTATATGAGTGTGTGATATATATATATATATGTGTGTGTGTGTGTGTGTATTCTTAATTTACATTGTTTCTGACTAGTTTAAAAAAGATCATGAATATATATTAGAGATCAAATACAAACCATGATTAATATACTAACCTACAAACTCAATAATATGCAACACTTTGAACTTCAATATGCAACACTTTGAACTTCAATATGCAATACAAATAATGTAAATATGAAACTGCTATTTTTATGGCTTGAATAATATGCAATACTTTGAACTTCAATATACAATACAAATATTGTAAAAATGCACAGTTTGTAGGTTAGCATGGGAGGACTAGTTTGTAAGTGAGTTCACCCCTATGAAGATATGTCCTATGTGATACAGTGGAGATGAATATTTATTTGTTTTATTAATATAAAAACTTTAAGTTACATAAAAATAAAAATTAATCAATTACTAGTTATGATTTATAAGTAATAACCAGTAAAAACATATCACCATCAAGCAAACAACATACATACATAAAAGACATAATATATCAATAACTACATTATTATATGCAATGAATGTGTAGATACATTTATAAACTAAAAACTAAGCTAAACATAACACAAAAATTAATTCTCTAACCCAAGAAAACCAAAGACCATTGATGATATTAGGATTAATTAGGATTAGTGCTTGACAATTAACAAATGAATTTTCATATTTTAATTAGTTCGGTTTATTCAGTTCGGTTTGGTTTGAATGGTAAAAACCAAAACCTAACCAAACAACTTCGGTTCAGTTTCTTACATTCGGTTTCAGTTTTTTAGCGGTTTGGTTCTACTTGGTTGCAGTTTAGTTTAATTTGATTCACTTTTCTTTTTTCGTTTTTTTGGACCCAACCCTGATTTTTTTACTTGGGCTTACTGAACAATACTTGGCAATTACTGGGCCGTTGGAATGCATCAACTTAAGTAATGGGGCTTTATTGACTTGGACCCCTTGGGCCGTGTGTGAAAGGTATGTGGGCATCTCTCTTTTGATTTTTGTGGACTTTATTTATTTCATGGACTGATTGATACCAAGGTGGGGTCTGTCTCGTGTTAGTATGATATTTTTTTTAGACTTTTAAAAAAATATTTCCTCTCCTCCTATCCCCTGTCACAAGGTGAGTGGCAGGCGTTAGATACTATTTTAGGTTAGAGTAGCTAGTTTAGTTAGTTTTATTAGATTTTTTGATACATTGTATGGTTTAATTTTGAATGAATTTTTAATATACTTAACTTTAATTTCATCCAAAAGACGTATCAAAGTTTCATCCCCCACTTAAAAATTAAAATGACATGTAACACTCTGTAAGTAATTCTTGACCATTTTTTGGGGCATCAATTTGGATGTAGAGTTTTGTTAAAGGTACACACTCTTAGGATAAGTGTTACAAAAGAATCATGCGACAACATCACATTTTAACGAATCATATCACTTTTACATTCAACTAACTCAATGTGATGCCACTGCCCATATCACTTGTTTGATTTTTTTTATGTAATATAAGTTTATATGTACTTACAGAATTTTCTTTAAATATGTGACATTCACACCGTAATTTTCATAAATATTTTTCGAAACAAAACAACCGTACTTGATTTTGACCTCAAAGGTTTGTTATTCATACATAGATAGGTTAACAATTTAAACACATGCCCATTGTTTAATTGGTTCTCAACTCACCGCCTTATTCAAAAGCTATAGCTATATATTACAGAAGAAGGAAAATAAATAGAAAAAAGAGAGAAAAAACTAACTTGAATTGGACCTTACAGTAACCCCTTTCTCCTTAAGTGTTTGTTCAAAATGCGGCTTACAATACAACACCCCATCCATGGAGGAATAATTGCTCAACTGAAATTGATAATCATTTATAATTGTAATGTGAAAGGATATGGGGATGCTTCTCACCAATATTTTGTAATGTATTTTATCTCCGTCCTATTTTACGTGTCTTGTTTTGGATTGACACAATTATTAATAAAGTTGTTAAAAAGTAAAAAAAAAATGTGATTGAGATTTGAGTGTAATAAAGTGAAATGTTGTGAACCACATAATTTAAAAAAAATATGACACTTATTTTGGGATAACCTAAAATGGAAAGTAAGACAATTAAAATGGGACGGAGAGAGACATTTTAAAAATATTAAATTGAAAATAGATTTCAAAATTCCTAAAAAGTCAAGGAGAATATATATATATATATATATATATAGATATATAGATATATACACACACACATACCGCAAGTCGGCCGTTGCATTGGGCGCATCTGAAACAAGTATTATGATATGCAACGCCGGCGGGAGAAACCATCTCCGCAATGTAAACCGTTTTATCACAAGCCTTACACTTTTGTTGGGTTCCATTATTGAAAGCCATCTTAATTAATTGTAAGATTAAACCCCCAAGCTGCTTGATAATCAATCAACAAATAGAGAATATATCAATAATTTACATATATAGCAATTTAGTTTTACCAAATGGAGTTTCTATTATTCGATGGAGAAATGAGTTCATCAATAGTTGAAGCAATTATTATCATTATTCATTAATGGTTAATGGTGAAATGGATAACTTTGGTTTGTGGAGGAGCAGCATTCTGCCTTGGCTTGAATTTAGGATAACATATGGAATGAAAGACAAATGACGTCCGAAATTGTGGATATGATGTTTCAAATTCTCAACAATTGTGATTATTTTTACTAGTAGTTGTGTTTAAAACAACGTTTGTGGCCACTTTTTCTTGAAATATTGTAAGTAAGCTTTTGAAATTGAATATATTTATGCAAAAAAATTTGCATTAAAATAGAGAAATATCGAGACACTATTAAATTAAGGTAGAACTCAAATGAGTTTATAAGCTTATGTCCACATCGTTCAAGCTATCTTATTATCATAGATTATGTATCATTGGAGAATAATTGGAGTATGTATATGCATTGAGTATATATTGACAATTGTTTAACAAGCTATATTTGAATTTGCCCCATTAATTAAAGGTTATACATAATTAAAGGTTATAAATAAAAAAGCTATATTTGAATTTTCCCCATCAATTAAAGGTTATACATAATTAAAGTACGTATATTATCCTTTTTTATATATTGTCTTTTGTATTTGCTAACAGAGCGTAAATAACTCATTGTATTATTTCAAATCTATTACTGAAGGAGCAATACACAAATAAGGGTATGTTTGGCATAACTAGTTGAAAAGATATCTTTTAAATTTTTTAGTAATTGTTAGCCTTTAGTGACTGAAAAGATCTTAAAAAAAAAGGATGTTAACTTTTTGATAAAAAAAACTATTTGTTTGATTTAGTTATGTTTGGTATCCAAGTTGTTGAGACTAATTAAGGCTAAAGCCTATAGCTAGACTTTTCTAAGATGATACTCATCGTAGCTTCTAAAAAAATCTTTTATTATGAAAAAAAAACTCTTAAAAATTGTCATACCAAACAAACAACTAGAACCTTTTAGGACTTTTTAAATAGTACTCCATATATAAGCTAAAAAGTAGGGGTTTAAGTCGGCCAAACATACATTAACTATGATTTATGAATGACACATAAGCTTGTCCATATTAAAAATACAATGAATCCACTCATTTTACCAAATTTGAATCTCTCTAACCATCTTGAAAAAGACTGAAAATTTAAAAAAAAAATGATAACTAGTTAGTGTTAAATAATACGGAGTATTATTCTTCGCTCTTTAATGATTGCAACAGTTTGACTTTCATGTTTGCCAACACAAAACTTTTACTATAATAATTTTTAATTACATAATATTGTATTAGTAAACATTATAAAAAGTTGATATTTTAGAAATTCACACTAATAGGAATTTAATGACATTTTGTACCTAATAGTTTGATTATGTATATCAGTAGAAAATCGTGATCAAAGTAAGTTGTGTGAATAGTGCAAAAATCACAATGTTGAAATAATTAAAGAATGAAGGAACTCAAGGAAGTATAAATTTAGTCATGTAAAAGTTGTAAGAATATGAGATAATCAGGAATACATAACTATCTTGAAAAGAAAATAATAATAATTATAAATCAAAATGTAAAGAAATTAAAAATATTTCGAGAAGTGCAAAAAATTACAATTTTAAAAAATAAAAATGGTTTTTGTATACTTAAAAATAATTGTACCTGTTTTGTGGAAAAATACTTCAAATTTTACAGCCCATTTTAAAAATATAGAATGTGTTTTTAATTTTTTTGAATGCTTAGCAAATTTTACATGTAATTTAAAAAAAAATCAATGTTTAATTTCTCTTTTACTATTTTTTGCTTTTGAAAATTTTACAAGTTTTTCAATACTCCTTATTTGTTAAAATTTTATGGCTTTTCACATTTCTATTATTTACTTAGATAAATTTTAAAAGACGAAGGGCGTGACTTTGAAAGAATTTGAATCTATCAAATACATCAACTTTGGTTGTAATTTTAGTGTAAATAACATTCGAGAGCCGTTTAGAATACCCGGCCCTTATGTTTCTCTAACCATCTCGGCAATATGATTTCTCGAGGGCATTGGCTTAATGGAAAATCCTGATTTTGCCCTTGTGGGAAATGAAACTGTACATTGCATAAGTAGTAAAAGTGTTTTAAATTTCAATGTACCAGATAACGTTTTCGAAGAGCTCATAGTAATGATAGATTTTAAGTGAGTATTCCCTCAAAATCAAAACTAGCATTTAATTGTTGGTTGACTGACACAATTATGTTATGTCATTTAGATTGTGCTTAATATTTGTTTTTTTACTTTCTTTATATTTTATTTGAAAGACGCTAATATTCATATATTAGCTGTTTTAGTTCATCATTTCTTTGGTTGATGTAAAAAAATGTTAAGTAGTGTTTCTTACACAAGTACCAATTGCTATGACTATTGAATTAGATATCAGCATCTTTTTCCGGTAACCCGTGCTCTTTAGATGTCACAGAGCAGAAGCGGCACCGTTAAATACTTTTCTTACATTCTACATAGTATAATAAAACTAAAACAATAAAATATCTTTTATCTGGGTAAAAAATAAGATTGCATGTCAAAATTTGCTAAATACATATTTGTCTTGATGCTATCTCAAATTTGTGTTCACCATTCTAATTGGAATCAATTTTTTATCTGATCTGTGAAAGTAAAAGTTATTTATTACTTTAGTTTATATATTAAATTTTAATATAAATCTTGATATATTTTTGCTGAGAGTTTCAGATTTCCAAAAACTTTATTAAATACACATATAACAATCATGTTGTGATACTAAAAGTGGTGTTTAAGAACTAGACTAATAAGTTAGGCTATTTTTTTTTTGAGAAATAATAAGCTAGGTTGTTAATAAAGGATAATCTTTTACTCATGGATTTTCATAAAGTAATATTTGGCCATATATAGATTTGAGATCATTTTTTGTTTCTAAATATGGGGCATCTTTATTTTTTATTTTTTATTGCATAGTTTGACATATTTATGTTTCAATTATTACCTACCACTTGACATGAGAATTTGTTTATAGATTTAATTTTGTTGACATTCTAGGTAAAAATTGCCTACTAAAAATCTAAAATATGCTACCTTTTTTCTTTCAATAACACTTATTTTAAATCAATCTAATGAAAGGAAAATAGATTGCTACCAATCACGTTATGCAGTCAGCCTGTTGTCCCCATCATCACCTTCATTAAAATCAGAATGTTACAAAACTATAAATTGTAAATTCTTTTCTTAAAGAAGGAGGTAGAAGGATTATTACTCAATTCTAAATCATCGACGGGTTAATATCTTCAAACAAAATGACCACGTCCATTATTAAATAAATAAATTGCACAAATGTGTAGTTATTAGTTTTGAAAAAACAGTAAGCTAATGATGAAATCGAATAGATAAAAGTAGGCATTGAGATTTTTTTGTTTAGATAAAGATGGTTGAAAAAACGAAGTTCATTTGGATGCAACTGAGAGTTATAAATAATATGCTTTTCTGATTAGAAAAAAGAGTTTTTTTCTCAGATAATGCTAATTAAATAAATAATTCCCAAAATACTGCCGGGTTAAAAATAATTCCCAAAATACTGCTGGATTAACCGGGGTTAAGCAACGCAGTACAAGAGCCGCCACTTGAAGTGGCTGCTTATCTAAACTCACGTAAGTCACGCAACCAGGCAATGTCAACAATGCATTACATGTAATGGGTCCCACCAAATTAAAAACCTCCCATTTTCTTTGAAGTGTTATAACTTTTTTATTTGTACTCTGATTGTTACAAAAAATATACCAAAATTCATAATTTTTTATTATCTTTCATATGACACCAATATTGAATATATAAATAAAAAAATAATTTAACATTTTAAAAATTACTGCATATCTGTTTTTAAAGTGTTATATATTTTTTATTTGTATTCCGATTATTACAAAAAATATATCAAAGTTTATTATTATTTATTATCTTTTATAGGAAAGCAGTGTTACATGTAGAAAATTAAAAATAAAATATATTAATTTGATACTATCATATTTTTTTTTGTAAAATGATCCTAAACTACACAAATTAATAGATTTTATTTTCAATTTGTAATAGTTTAGGATCATTTTACAAAAACAAAATATGATAGTATCAAATTAATAGATTTTATTTTTAATTTTCTATATGTAACACTGCTTTCCTATAAAAGATAATGAATAATAATAAACTTTGTTATTTTTTTTGTAATAATCAGAATACAAATAAAAAATACGATAGTATATAACACTTTGTGGACAGATACCATTTTTTTGTAATAATCAGAATACAAATAAAAAATTACTGCATATCTGTTTCTTGGTGGGACCCCAGTTAATCTAGCAGTATTTTGGGAATTATTTTTAACCCGGCAGTATTTTGGGAATTATTTATTTAATTAACATTATTCCGAGAAAAAACTCTAGAAAAAATATAGATTGAGAACATGTTTAGATAATTAATTAAGAAATAATATATACTCAATAATTAAGAATATACACTATCAACCAATATTATAATCGACTAAATAGGTGACATTCCGTTACTTATAAACTTATAATAGCTCATACGTATGTCACTGCACCACACACATATTTAGTAAAACTAAAACAAAATTGTTTTATCTCGTACACGGCATAAATAGTTTATTTCTACGCATAAGTAGTTTATTTCTATTTGAATTGCTTAACTACGGAGTAATCGTAAAGTTGTGAACTTCCATTCCTGGTAGTGTGACACTCATAGAGACGCTGTCGACATCGATAAATTATTTCTCATTTTGTTCCCAAACTAGGGCTCCATTCTTTTCATAATATCTCCAAGGTTCATGCGTTATTCGTTATCCCCTTCAATAGTGAGAGCGGATTGTTGGATTTTGAGAACTTGTTGGCCTAGCCGGACCGAATTTGTGCTTAATCTCTGATGAATACGCGAGGGAGGTATCCACCCGGGATTGGGAACGGTCGCGGCGGAGGAGGCAGCGGTTATGGTGGGGGAGGCAGCGGTTACGGTGGGGGCGGCGGCG